GTACCACCCTAAAGCCAGTAAACTAAAGCTCACCAAAAAGCATTAAAGCTTTGTATGGATGTATTTTGATTATTCCAGTAGAACTATTAAAAAAAAAGGTGTCACCGAAAAATATCAAAAGGGCGGGGCACCTAGGTTCGGCCAAAATAGGAATTTTTTTTGAAGTTGGCTTGCAAAATTACTTTATACTCATGGGTATATGTACATATTTATTACTAGCATATTCACTTCTTACCTACTTAGTGACATTTAAAGATGGTTTTCTCTTTTTCAGGCCATGTGCGTCTATCGTGTACGTATGACACAAACTCTTAACATTGAATCTCAAAATCATGATGATATTATTTACAACTTCCTAATTGGTGGCGATGGCAATGTGTATGAAGGACGTGGTTGGGATGTAGTCGGTGCACATTTGCGTGGCTTCAATTCGGACAGTATTAGTTTCGCCTATATTGGTACATTCAAAAAACAAAAGCCATCAGAAAAACAGATGGATGTCACAAAATTATTATTAGAGGAGGGTGTACAATTAGGTAAACTCTCGCCAGATTATAAAATATATGGAGCATATATGTTGGATCCTACATCGACAGATGCCAGAGCAGATGAATTGTACAACAGCTTCAAAGGTTGGCCACATTGGTCTGAGTATCTATTTTCTGCAAACGCAAAATGAAATGTGTCATTTATTTTAAAAGTATAAAAGAAATATATTTACTTACCGATTATGCAGAGTGAAAAGTTGCTAAGTCCATTTTTTCTACAAAATTGTATATGTATATTATATAAAAATTAATAGTTTCTTAAAAGATCCAATTAAGTTTTTTTAACTCAAATCAGTGATGTGCAAACTTCCTAAGTCCAAAATAGTCACAAATGATGTTATAAGTCCCTAATAATACACAAGGTAGTCTCCAACTTTGGGAAATTTTATTCCTTTGAAGTGTTCTAGCTTGAAATATGCAGTTAAAATTTTTGCAAATATGTACTTGAAGAAACTGAGTTTTAAATGCTTGTATTCTCTCCTGTACTATTTTAAAAACTGGACTAAGCAACTTTTCATTTTAAGCTAGCGATATAGTACATTTTTGTACATATGTAAATTCTCTATTATTATTAAGAAATACATTTTTTTAATAAAAGTTTATTAATTGTAGAAAAATATTTATTTTAAGTATATTTAAATAGTTGCAGTACAGTTACATACATGCATACACATACATATGTACGTATCTACTACACAAAATATGCCGGCCACCTTAGTCGAATAAGTAGTAGTGCTAGAACATATTTGAGAAATTACAGTCCATATATTTAACTGTCGACCTCGTTGTCGAGTCGACATGAAAAGGGACATCTCGACACCACAGGGTACTAAATGTAGTCACAAATGTTTGAAACAATGCAAAAACAATGTTCCAAAATTGCCGCTTTCGAATCGTTTTATAATGATCATTATTACCTGCACTTATTAGCTGAACTGTCGAACGACAAACATCTCATATCGGAAGGCGCAAAGAGGTCCTTACAAATTTAGACGAAGCTTACTGTTGTGCTCAACGTCATTCAATATAGCCGCATGAGTTTAGCGGAAATAGTACGATAGATGCATCTCCAATGCTTGCGCCTCTAAAGTCGAGGACAATGTGCTGAATACCCATTCTTCTTCTGCGTTATTGGCGCTTTAATCGATTAGTCGATTCTGATCAAGTTTCTGTGGTGCGCTAGCTGCCAAGTGAATCTCAGTTGCAGTGCTTTCTTCGTTAAATACCAGCATCGCGATCCGCGTTGTATATGAAAATCTGGTCTTGTTAGATTTGCCACGCCTGAATCTACACTGATAAGGTCCAATCAGCTGGATCATGAAGGGCTTCAGTCTTTCCAACAGAATCGGCGAATAGGCCTTGTATGTCCTATTAAAAAGGCGCATCTACTTCTCTTCTCGTAGATTGGTCATTTTGCACTGAGTACTCAACGTTCGTGCTTATAATGCGCCCTACCAGCTTTTCGTTTTAAACGCCTGCTTTACCGAAACCAACAGGTCTCCAGAAATTGTATCGGTAGATGCAGAATCAGCGCAAGAAAATTTTCAAATGCGGTCGTTTTAATTTTCAGGGAATGCGGAGATACAATTTTGTCGGACTGTGTTATTAAAAAAAAAAATCTTGTAAAATTTATTTTTTTCTGGCCACATTAAAATTGCGGTTATGACTAGAAATCACCCAATGTCGCAACAATTCTGAGCAAGAACAGTTTACATGAGATAAACTTAACTCAGTGGGTAGCACACAGGCTTGGTACGCCGAAGTGTTGCGGCTCAAATTCCCTTGGCGTCGATGAAGAAATCCGATGAGGAGTTTTGGTGATCTCTGGGATTGCAGCTATAACTTCTACCTTTGCAATTTTTTTTTTTTCGACGACCTCGATAGGCTTTGGCAAACCTTCGAGTGTATTTCTGCCATAAAAACATCTTATCGTAGAAAAGCATCTGCCGTACGGACAATATAGAAAAACACAACACCTAACCGGAATGTGAACGCGAAATATTTTGTTCTTGAAACAATAAAACTTTTTAAATTCTGTTGAACTTGAACTAGCGTAATTATGTGCGTAGTTTTGTGGCGCATTTGATCAAAAGTTCGGACGAAAGGATGAAGTCCAGATGTGGTATTTTATTTTAAAACACAGTTCAGAATTTTTCTAATACATTTCTATTGCTTTTTCGAGTATAAGAGGGCAAAATTCTTGCTAGTCGATGGAAAGTTCTTGTGAAAGCTCGCTCAAATCAAAAAGAAGGTTTTCAGGTAGGTCTATCAGGCGTTAAAAAAAAAATTCACAAACAATTTCGCTATTTTCTCACAAATTGTTGGTCGATAATAATTTAGGTTAACCCAACTGGCGCTCAAATCGGCGTCCTAATATATACAGTTGAGAAAAGAGCGAAAGTTTTAAAAGAAAGAGGAGCATTAATATCCGTATTTTAAAAGTCTCAAACAAGAGATTACACACATATGTATCGTACATCTTAATTGAAAATGTAAATGTATACACTCCCATGCACTTGAATAGGGACAGTGCCTTTTCTGGGATATTTTTCTACAAATTTATTTCCCACTATTTTTTCATTGAAATACATTCATTTTCTAACAAAAACCATCGGAACAAAAGTTTCAAACTTTGGAAAAAATTAAAAAAAATATAAAATTTTCATAAAATTTTCTTAACAATTTTTTTTGCATATAGTTTTGTAGTCATTCTCGCTTTTTTTAATTAACAAAATTGAAGAGCGTCAGTAACAAATTTGTCGAAAATCAACTGTAATTCGTAGCTACTTCAAATTTGCAAATTTGATGAGATACAAACTGCATACTAAAAAAAATATTAAAACTCTTTGAAAAAAGTTGGAAAATTGTATGATTTTTTTTTAACTTGTTAGAGAATGAACTGTATTTTAATTTAAAAAAATGCAAATTAAGAGCGCTTTGCAGCCCTCAGAAAAAAATTTTTCGATCAACATTTCTTAAAGCAGTTTGCACCTCTCAAAAAAGCAACAGAAATATTAAAAGATATTTCTTATGAGTTTTCTTTAGAGCAACAAAAGCTAAATAACATAGAAGAAAAGGCATAAAAGCATTGTCCCTATTCAAGTGAATGGGAGTGTATGTACGTATATGTAAGTACTGCAAGCAAATTTTTGCATAGATATTCATGTAAGTAACTAACATATGATACATTTTTTTCTATTGTAACATACGTAACTAAATTTTTTTATTATAACGTTTTTACTAAATTCTGAGCTAAGAAATGTTATGCAAAAACTATACCGGGAAATGCACAAATTTTATAAGAAAAACTTTATTTTTTATCTAGTCAAAAAATCTTGAACATAAAAATTTTAAGAATATTATACAAAATTATTGTTTAGTATTTAACAGTGTGTTGAAAAATTAACATACATATTTTTATGGTACATATTAATTTAAGGCTGGCGGCAGAGTGATTGCGCATAAGCGATGCGAGGAGCGAAGCGATATTTTTTAATGTGGTAAGCTAAGTGTCTTCAACAGCTAGATGAAAATATACTATATCAGGGATAGGCGCAACAGGGCTGCGCATTTATTAGTGATTAATAAAAAAAGAAAAATCGATCTACGCACAACCCAACACATTTTTTGTGGAGTTATTCATTTTCATGTAGTATATATATATATATAATTTAGATATGAACCAAATCGGACAATATATATGGGTTTTCCAAATATCTCGACTCCTGCGCCATCTAGAGGATTAATTCATATTTTATATTGCATTGCCATCGAGTTCTGAGCTGTGTTTAAAGTATCGAGTATCTAACTCATCGGGAAGTTGGTTAAAAATTGCTTGCAAACATTGATTATAAACTCAATAAACAATAAAAGTATCTAAAAGTAAACAAAATAGCAAAAAATAAATCGACACTGTTAAATATCACATATTCGAACGCAGCTTTGTAATTTTTTTTTTTTAACTGTGTAATGACAAAAAAATGCAAGCAATTTCCAAGCGCGAACTTGCTACATATCATTTTACTGCTTTACGCTCGGTTTGTAGCTCAAATACGTTTCTATTTTCATTAACACTCTGCCACTTTTGGAGCAAATGTGTATAGTACATACAAAAACTCATTCAGCGATTTTTAACTTTTTATGACACTATGGCTAGCATCGCTTATACATAGCAACTACTCTGACTTCAGCCTAATAGTGTACCCGTTTATTGTGTGTTTTTATGAGAAGCAAGGTGCACAAATGTAAATGAATTTTTTATTATATATGTATAATTATATATGCAGCTATTATAAATAAATCTCATTTGTTATTGACATATAAAAAGCAATACAAATTGTACACAAACAAATATAGAAATCAATATCTTATTTTCTAGAAAAGTGCAATTTTAATTCAAAGATATTGCAGACAAATTAGAAAATATTCGACCTGTTAAATACTTTCATTACCATTCAAAAAACTTTTTCTAAGTTTATACGTTATTATAATAAAAATAAAAACGTGAATAAATATTCACATGCAAATATGTTATAAAAAATGTTTAATAAACATGTACAATTTTATAAAATAAATGTTTTTTAACAAACTAAAAACTTTTCTTAGCTAATTTATTCAGAGATCTGCATCAAACTTTTCAAAAACTCTGTCACCATGTTCAAAATTATTAAATTTCTAAATAAATTTTCGGCAGCTTTTAAATTTGCACTGATGGCAATAATAGAAATTCCTTTTGGCTATATTTCTTTTTTTTATTTAATAATTAATATTATCATAGTAGCCAAATATAGTAAAATTGCGTTTTTAGTTTTCCACTCTGACGTCAGCAATTCAAAAATGATTTAAAAAATTCAGTGAAATGTATGGGTTCCAAATTAAAGAGGAAATTCTGTAGAATTTAAGCGGATTCAATCTTTTGGTGCCTAAGGACTGGTAAGTATTGAAAATGTCCTTTTAAAATTGTATTCCTGAAATTTCGCAATATTTGTTTAAAAAAAAAATTATGTTTTAATGGTTTATATAAAGTCGATAACATCCTCGAATTTGGTCGTTCTAACTTTATTGGCTTAAAACGTACCTATTCGTTCTTGTGAATCCAAAAAATTAAATTTTTTTTAATTCTAAAGAAATTTCCTTTCATTTCATATGTTTGAAATTACAAAGTACTTTAAATTTCGATTTAAGTTGTTGAAAAGTAATGAACATCTAAA